GTAGCGCAGATTGAGTGCTACGTATGCAGCCTCCTCATCGTCCAGGGCGATTTGGAGGTCAAGTGCGCGCTCTTGTGTCAGCTTGAGTGTGGATTGAAGGTCTTCATTCTCAGCACGAAGACGAAGCTCTACTTGTGTTCTCACCGAAGCAAATTTTGTTTATGGAAGAAAAAAACAAGTGCAAGGTGCGGGATTAGACATCGGCAGGCATGGCGAGGAACAAACATGACAGTAAATGCATGTTGAGTTGCGGTTGAGCGTGAAACTATACTCGCCAAATACGAACCTTAGTTAAATAACAGGAAAGGGAGAAGACTAACGGGTTCATACCTGTGCGAGCCCGAGAGATAACTGGGAGGCCGTGAGCGTTAAGATGCTCCACGGCCTCCGTGGCGCCTTTTGCTGCGTCTTCTAACGGCCCAGTCAGATTAAGGGCCGAGGGTAAAATTTCTGTTGCAGAAGGAAGAGTAGCAGCCGCAGTGACTGGCGGAGCAGGGGTAGGAATAGCTGTTCCACCGTTGTTACTCGTCTCTGCCATGCTGCCCTTTTTGGCTTTCTTACGCAACAACTCGGCAGGCAGGATGCCCTTTGCCTTCATGGCTTGCATTCGACGAGCTCCTGGAACTTCGCGACAGGTTCGTTGGAGTCGCTTTCGATCGCCGTGTCGTCCAGCACTGCACCATCTCGCCCGAGTGTAACCAGACCCGTTTGGTTGTCCGGTGCCAAAATTCGTTTCCCACCACAGGCTGTACCAACCACACCAGACATAACGACGCGTTTGCGACTGACAAGAGTCGCAGACGATAGATGCGGTTGTTTATCGTTGGTGAATGACTATTTTTATCTCACGAGGTTTGCCACGCAGATGCCTCACCTGTTCCAGCTGGCAGATTACATTGGCGGTGATTGGACGATTCCGTCCTATGCGGAAAGACTGCGTCATGGCGCTGCGTCGTGCGTCAATGTATTTACATGGTTTCGTTTTGGCAGCCACGGTATTTTACTGTTTCGCAGTCGGAAATTTAGGTAGTAATGCCTCCCTGCCCGTATTTCCGCAGTTTTGCATGTTTCACGTATTTTGTTCATATGGGGATGATTTTTTCGGAAACAAAAATTATTTCACGCGTAACTAGAGATTACCTTACCATAGGAAAATGATGAATGAATGCGTAGTAAAAAAGAAAAAGGGCCACGGGCCCATGGCGCGAACAGGTAGAATTAGGAATCTGGGCCCACAGTCCAAGTCACATGCATTCCCTATCGTAGGCGAGCGGCTATGTGCTGCGCGTCGCGTTCGGCAGTCAATCTCATCCACCCACCATGGTGGTTCCTTTGTTGTCGCGTGCCACCTCAGCATGTCACAAATATATCCATTACAAACAACAATTTTCCTAACACGATCAATAGTGAAACGAACGACTACATTGCAATACAGGCCCCCGTTTTGCACTTTCATGCTTTCTTTCTTGATGAAGCCCTTACTAGGCCCTTAAGGATCTGTTGGTTGTGATCATGCAGCAAACGTGACGGCTTGTTTAAATTGTAGAATTGTGTTGTACGCAAAGCGATACGACATTGTCTATGCGTGTATTTCATTAAGTTTCAACAGGTCAATCACTATGGTTTGAAGTGACAAAATGGAATATCCATTATTATCCTACGCGTTACTAGTTTAGAACATGAACTTATTAACTAGCCACACGTCCTCGCATGGCGCAGTCCGGACCAGCTCTACCGCCCGTAGGATACTGGTTACTGCAATCACACTATAGCGTTGAGACAAGTCAGCCCAAGTGAGAGTTGTGCACTTAGTAGCTATGTCTTTGGAGGGGGCTGAGTCATAGTACTTTATGAAGGCATATGGCACCAGCAATCTCCCAATGCGGACCTCAAACAGTATCAGCAACTTAGCATACCATTCGAGAGGCTCTACATCGTCACCTTCCCCAACAACTGCGATGTTGGAGAACCATGGCCGACCATAGAACATCGGCGCAGCACGAACGTGATGAGGTAGGCGGCTAAATGCCGCATCGATTGCAGCTGGCATGGCCAGCCCGTTGTGGATCTGTGTGTGTAGCTATGGTGCAGGGGAAGGACGGGATAATGAGTATGTCAGAGAGAGAGGGAAGAGTGGTGAAAGAGGGATGAGATGCCACCATTTTGTACAGCAACAAAAGGGGGAAAGAGAGAGGAGGGGGATGACGTGGTAGGTGTCAGAATCCCAACCACTAGACCATTGGGATAAAAGGGCTTGTTAAGTAGCGAGTCAGTGCGCCCATAACCCCCCAGGCCAACGTGCCTGTAACCCTTCCCTAGGATCAATCGAGGATCACCAGTGGACCTCTGACACCCCGCACTGGGATGCCCGAAGTGCACACACTGGGATTCGAACCCGAGACCTTCGCTCTGATACCATGTCAGAATCCCAACCACTAGACCATTGGGATAAAAGGGCTTGTTAAGTAGCGGGTCAGTGCGCCCATAGCCCCCCAGGCCAACGTGCCTGTAACCCTTCCCTAGGATCAATCGGGGATCACCAGTGGACCTCTGACAGTAGGTTCAAGGGATCATCTTACGTGGATGGTGTCGATGCTACTTCCCGAGCATGCAGGTGCCTCATTCAAAGCGCCGTGTAGGAAGGGAAGGTCCGCAGATAACGCCGTCAAGAACTCGCTATCTCAGTCAGCATCAGGTGTCAACGGCACCACGAAGGGTGCCACTAGCCGGTTGGCAGGGACCAGCAGCCTCCAACTCTCTCGAGTCATCACCCTTTCCCCCGTCCGTTGAGCCTGCAGGCATGATCATGTATAATAAGAATGAGTGGTATATCTATGAGGTGGAAGGTGTACGACCAGTCAACTATGAATAAAGTAGGACTCACCTCAACCATGCACGTGTCGTAGGCTTTACGCTTGCCGAGAACTGGTGCAATGGAGTCCAGGCGCAGACGCATCACCTCACTATTCATGATCTGTGCAGTGGCCGTGCGCCGGTTCGATGCTCTGTAAAGGTTCTTGATGTACTCGATGTGCAGGTGCTCAAACATCTGCGTAGAGTAGTGCTCTGGCAAGCCAGCACGACGGATCGAGTCAATGTAGTGGCTAATCAGGTGCATCTTGATGAAGTGCTACTTTGACGCCTGTAGAGGAAAGGCTGATTTGAGGGTGAAAATCAACCTGCCATACCATGGTGATGGTGGGGGAAGATATGTTTGAGCAGAAAGGCATTGGCTAGAATCCCATAGTGGTAGTCTTACATGTGCAACAACATATTGCATGCACGCGCTTCATAGTATAGTAACACATGGACATACCTTTCGGCCTTGTGCTTCAAATCACGCAGCGTCTCTGTCGTATGCTCACTGGCGCGGGCACAGTAGGTGTACCAGTCAATGTAAGTTGCAATCGCGTCCATCTGCGCCTGAGGGACAGTCGACTCAAAGCCACCCACTAAGGAAGGACTTGCATGACACTCCTATGCTCATACGCATGATAGCTCGCGCCTGAGGAGAAATACTCGCCCTCAGGCAGGAGCATGAACGGGTTGCGGTTGTGCTCCCGCAAGTAGGCTATTCTCTCGTCGGCCTCTTTTTTTTGAGCGATGGTGAGTTGTGTACAGAAAAAGTCAATGATGTGCACAAGAATTCCCAAATCTGCCTGGTGCATGATATCAGGCATGACGCTCAAATAAAGGTTCAAAATAGGAATAGATGACCAACGCCAACCCCACAGAAAACAATTCACCGGATGTGTTGACATGCTTGACACGCCTTTCGGAAACAACCACATTTGCAAAAGCGAGGTAATGCCCTTTTGCAAGTGTGGAGTACGAGGGACAATGCGAGGCAGTAGTTTGTTGGTCTCAGCAATAGGGACTGTGCACAACGAGCATGGGAAGCCTGTGGCCCCCGATTTTGTGCAAGTCACCTTGCACGACTCAGAATAGTCACATGCGTATGCGTACAAACCAGGCCACGCATTGTACGTGGCACCAGTAGGGTCCTGGACCCTCACTCCGGTGTGTGAGGCCTTTCGCAATGGTTCCATGACCATTGACAGGATGTGTTGGAAGACAATCAACTTGTCTAGCGAATCATACTGAGGCGTGAATTCAGGAAGCAAAGCAAGCAGTACATGGCCCCATGGCTTCCAACGGTCATGCTTGATGTTTCCCAGTGTCAGGTACACTGGATGACCCTTGGCCTTGCCTCTTTGGTCCATATGTGTCTCGTCGCTCGACAATATCAGAGCAACCACGACCCCGACCGGGTCCACTTTTTTGACCTCATTGTGCAAAGTAAACCACCAATCCCCGAATTCGGGTGATGAGTACACATGTGTCTACGTGGGTTTAAGAACGAGTTTGTCCGCATTCTTTGGATGTGTCAAAAGGTCAATCATCCCAATGACACCATCACAAAAAAAGAAATCTAATGAAGCTTTTGACTGTACGCGCACAAGACCTCGTCTCCAGTTACGGTGAGGATCTGGGATGCGTTCATCGACGTATTTTTCAACGTCTCGCGCATTTCTAAAAACGACAACGTCGTCATTGAACTTTGAACCAAGGTTCAAGATGAGGAGCAACTTATCAATAGCACTTTTCCACAGATTGGAGGTAAGGAGGAAATGAGCGAATGCATCTGCAAAATTGAATGTGTCGCTCTCACCTCCTGATGCCGCCCCACCATCCCCTACGCCATCACCTTCAGCCCTCTCCTCTGTGTGGGTTTCGGGCTCAGGAATGGTGGGGACTGAAGTAGGAGGAGGAGGTTGTGGGGTGTCAGGCATGGGTGCAGTTGTTGTGGGTATGTTCAACATAGGCCGTGGCATGGTAGCTTGCGTGGTGCGTGGAAGTTGCATGGAGCGTGAAGATTCAGCGGTCGCAAAACGATTTGCGGCGGTGGCTCTGCACGTTTCGCCATTTTGATGGTTTGTGAGCGGACCCCTACCAGAGAACCCGGGAGCTCCGCACACTCCGCAATTGTAAGCCATCTGCTATAAGAAGAGATGGGAGGGTGGTGGTGAGGGGCGGGCGGAGGGGTGGTGAGGAGGGAGGAGTAATGAGAGACTGCTGAGGGTGGAAGGATCCCTGAACGAAGGGGGGGGGGGGAGAAGGAGGCAATTGAGTGCACACAGCCAAGGGTATCAGGCACAGGGAAGGCAGGGGGCTTACGAGGGCGGCACAAGCTTACGAGGGCGGCGGGTGTAAGAGATGGTGACGGGGGAAGGGTGTGAGACGGGGGAAACCGGGGGCGACGGGTGTATGAGAGGATGACAGGGAAAAGGGTGGGAGACGGATGGAAACGTGGGCAAAGGGGGAAGGGGTGGGTGACGGGGAGAAACGAGGGCGACGGGGCAGGAGTAGGTGATGAGGGCGGGGGAGCAATGGCGGGGGGTGTACCAAAACCGACGGGTGTACCAAAAGCGACGGGGGAGCCAAAGGCGGGGGTCAAGAAAAGGCGGGGGCGGAAGGGGAGGGCGAGAGGGGAAGGAGCTGGCGACGGGGGAAAGCAATGACGACGGTGTGTAACAAAGGCGACGGGGGAAAGCGAGAGCGACGAGGAGTGTGCGAGAGCGACGAGGAGGGTAAGGACGACGAGGGAAAGGGAGGGAGACGGGGGAAAGTGACGGCGACAAGGGAAGGAGTGGGTGTCGGAGGCAAGAGAGAGCAACAGGAGATGGAGTGGCTGCGGGGGAAAGCGAGAGCGACGGGAGAAGGAGTGGGCGGCGGGGGAAAACGAGGGCGATGGGGGAAGTAATGACGGTAGAGGAAAGGGAGGGAGGATGACAGAGGAAAGCGTGGGCGCCGGGGAACGCGTGTGCGACTCGGGAAAGCGTGGGGGACGGTGACAAGTGTGGGCGACGGGGCAGAGAAAGGGCGACGGGGGCAAACGAGAACGACGGGAGAAGGAGTGGGCGGCGGGGGAAAGCGAGAGAGACGGGGGAAGGAGTGGGCCGCGGGGGAAAGCAAGAGCAACGGGGGAAAGCGAGGGCGATGGGGGAAGCAAGGACGATGGGGGAAAGCCAGAGGCGACGGGGGAAAGCGAGTGCGATGGGGGAAGGAGTGGGTGACGGAGGCAAACGAGAACGACGGGAGAAGGAGTGGGTAGGGGGGGAAAGCGAGAGAGACGGGGGAAGGAGTGTGCGGCGGGGGAAAGCGAGACCGACGGGGGAAGCAATGACGACGAGGGGAAAGCGAGGGCGACGGGCTAAGGGGAGTGTGAAGGGGGAAAGCGAGAGCGACGGAGAAGGAGTGGGCGGCGGGGGCTCCATGAAGCTAAATAACTCACCTTTTGAGATCGCCACTTCAAGGTGAATGAACCACTGGCTGGAAAAAAGCTCGCGGATTAGCCGCCACCAGTGGCCGCAAGTGTAGCCTAACCCCAACTTCAGTACTTCAATCGCAGCTAACCGCACGAAATTGTTGCGGAGGCGGAATGCACGGATTTTTGGGGCTTGGAATCGTGTCGAGTTTGGGAACATGGACGAATTTGGAATTCGGAATTCCAGACACAAGACTTCGAGCAGAACTGATGACTGAGTTCCTTGCCCCCTAAGCAGGCCTGTCGATAGGTTTGGGGCCAAAGCGTGGGAGTCTGTGGTGCCTAAAACTCTGCCCTCAACCCGACGGGCTGATACCCAACACAACGTTTAAAAACAGGGGTACAAAGTGAAACGCCACCTTTGCTAAGAACTGACAAAAGGTGCCCTTTAAACAACATCCACCTTAATACAATGGCAGGGTGTGTTATCAGTTTGCAGAGAAATGCGATATGGCCAGGACTTATACTATGCATCCGGGTTAGGCAGCTAAACATCACTTAGGCAGCTAAACATCACTTAAAGCATACGGGCTACCCACTCGAAACCAAAGCGTGAGCACTTCAAACTGACCCGCGACCAAACCTGAATGTTACAAAGCGACACGGCTGGTCAAACGCGGGTGAACGAGTGAGAACGCGCCAAATCACCCAAATGTGAACTAGCGCGGCTTGCGAAAAATCGCGCAGCGTCACCAAACAGCATTGACAAAATTGTGGCGGGAAACACACGTGTCAACCATCGTATTCAACCTGGTCGTGTACGACAAAACAAACGGACGCGTTGCATAGTAACATACTGTATGCACAATACAAGAACAATCATAATAGTTAAATCCATAAACCTATAACATACAACACAAGCACACCAATATTTTGCGACCATGCAAATGTAAATTACGCAAGTTATCTGTCATCATGTGTATAAATTTAAATACACTCACTAATAACACTAAGGCTAGTATCTGAGCAAATCATTGATTAAATCGGAAATCCAACTTACAATAACCGCTATGTACCAATTACAAAACAGTACCCTATAAACAGTAGGACGAATGTCGAAAACCAGTGCGTAGTGTCTGGAATTCTAAACCAAATTACCTGCATACTGCAGATAACATAAAACACATGTAAAACAGAAAACCTGCACACAATGTAAACGAGCCAACGTATATCGGTTAAAGTGAAAACTGAGAAGCAAGGAGTCAGAAAAAAAAAACACGATGTCCCAACACTACAGGACAAGGCAAATGCCACATGCAACGAAATGTGAAGCCTGTAACCAGATCGCGACACCCGTGACTTCAAAACAAACCATCCCTGAATGGGCAAACAGTGGCAAAGTTACGAAGGGAGACTACGTGGCACAATTCACGGCTGTGTCTCATCAAAACCAGCTCGAAACGGACCTGAACCTAAACAGTCGAGCCTCGGCCGTTCGAGTCAGCCTAATGAATGGTAGATTGAGACAGAAAATAAACGATCAGTCGTCAATTTCGATAATTTCTAGCTCGACCGACACATCCAGCAGGAAACCTATGGTTTCCATTTGCCCCCCCCTCTCAGAGGACTCATGGGCAAATCCCTCGGGCCTGTGTTTGGCTAACCAGGGATTTCTCCGATGCCCCTTTTCCCCCTCCCTTTTCTTCTCCTGCTCTCTCCCCACCGCAGATGAAAGAAAGGAAGCGGCGGGTTACTCTCCTTCCCCGCATTTGATCTTGCTGCATGCGTGTATCCAGTTGGTTGGTCAAGCACGGACTGATTGCAACAACGGGTCTGCAATCAGACCTCGCCACGTGGTAGCACCTCTACATCAGTAGTCACCTCCACAGGCCTCTACTGTTGCTTTGCTGTGGGGCTCCCTGCCTTGCCTTTCCCCGACTAAGCCCTCCCTTTCACACATGTGCAAATGCATGCACACCATACACACAAGCAAGCATGCATGGTAACAACTCGCTTTGCGCACCTGCGCTACCCACCAGCTCTATTCATGTCTGCTCACGTTTTTTGCTAGTAGCATCGCTTGCTTTTTATAAGGTGAATAAAAAAAGAACAATCAATGCTGCATTTAAGTTCCAGTATGTTGGTGGATGTGCAGGTGGATATTCTTATCCCTCATGATCACACTCTCTCGTTACAATCGCACAACCTGCGAGCAGCTGTGGCACTTTATCTGCCCTCGCCATATCAGCATGAGCTGTACGAGGCGATTTGCAGCATCTCAGCAAGGTATGTGCGGGCAGGTATGTGTGTGTGCGGGCAGGTATGTGTGTGTGTGGGCAGGTATGTGTATGTGTGGGCAGGTATTTGTGTGCTTGCTGGCAGGTACTTGTGTGTGGGCAGGTATTTGTGTGCTGGCTGGCAGGTACTTGTATGTGGGCAGGTGTTTGTGTGCTGGCTGGCAGGTACTTGTATGTGGGCAAGTATTTGTGTGCTGGCTGGCAGGTACTTGTGTGTGGGCAGGTATTTGTGTGCTGGCTGGCAGGTACTTGTGTGTGGGCAGGTATTTGTGTGCTGGCTGGCAGGTACTTGTGTGTGGGCAGGTATTTGTGTGCTGGCTGGCAGGTACTTGTGTGTGGGCAGGTATTTGTGTGCTGGCTGGCAGGTACTTGTGTGTGGGCAGGTATTTGTGTGCTGGCTGGCAGGTACTTGTGTGTGGGCAGGTAATTGTGTGCTGGCTGGCAGGTACTTGTGCGCTGGCTAGCAGGTATTTGTGTGCTGGCTGGCAGGTACTTGTGTGTGGGCAGGTATTTGTGTGCTGGCTGGCAGGTACTTGTGTGTGGGCAGGTATTTGTGGGCTGTCAGGTGGGGTGTGCTGTCAGGTGGGGTGTGCTCTTCTTCCCAGCCCTCCTCCCTCCCAACCCTCGCCCATATCAATCTCTCAAACAACCCGCTTCCACTCTCCCCACTCGCCCACATCGACGCCTCTCGTGCCTCTGTGCTGCTGCCACTCGCCTCTCTTCCCTCGCTGCGCTCTTTGCAAGTAAGTGCGGTGCTGCTGGGTGCTGGTGGGTGCTGCTGGGTGTTGGTGGGTGCTGCTGTGTGATGGTGGGCGTGGCTGGTTCTGGTGGTGCTGCTTTGTGCTGATCAGAGCAGTGAGGGGAACTTTGCATTGCTGCCCTTCGCCTCGCTTCCCTCACTGCCCCACCTCCCCTGTCTCCCCTCCCTCGCTCTCACCCTGATGTAACCTTAACACGCGTGATCATGCTCTCCCCTTGTTCGACCCTCCTTCCCTCTGCTTTCCTCCCTCCCTTCTCCTCCATGCCTGCCCTCCTCCCCTCTGCTCTCATCCCCTTCTTCTCTCCGCCCTCCCTTCTCCTCCCTTTCTGCCCTCCTCCCCTCTGCTCTCATCCCCTTGTGCTCTTCTTCCCTCTGCCCCCCCTCGTTTTCTCCCCTACATCATCGTGTGCCCCTCTCGACCTCCCCAGGTAGATCTAGAATGCTCTTTCCTTTTTTACCCATACAACAGAGCATCCACTCTCCCCCACCTCTCCTCCCACCCCGCTGCAGCCTTCCTCCCTCCCTCTCCCCTCCTCCCCGTCCCTCTCCCCTGTCTTTTCCAGGTAGACCTAGAAGGCCCCTTCCCCTTCGATCCATCGCATCCACTCTCCCCCGCCTCTCCTCCCTCAACAGAGCTCTGCTCTCCTCCTTCATGCGGGGAGGTTCCTGGATGTTTCCTCGCCTCCCAGCCTGGCAGCCCGGCACGCCATTGGTGGATCGAGTGCCGCATGCCATGTGGCGCCACGTGTGCAGCTACAAGCTCGCCACTGAAACACAGCTGGATGAGAGTGCTGTGTGGTGAGTATTAGAGCACCGCACCACACTTTACTGCACCGCACTGCACTGCACCGCGCTGCACTGCACAGCACTGCGCTGCATTGCAGTGCTTTGCACCAATTGTCCAAGCACTGTCTAGACTTGCTTGGTGCTGCTGCATGCCATGTGGCACCACGAGTGCAGCTACAAGCTTGCTACTGAAACTTAACTGGACCACAGTGTGGTGTAGTGAGTGAGGGAGTATCCATGCACCGGATTGCACTGCCAGTGCACCGCACCGCACTGTATTTGGCCCGAATGACCAAGTCGTAACTAGGTATGCGCTGGGTGCTGCATGCCATGTTGCGCCGCGTGTGCTGCTACAAGCTCGCAACCAAGACACAGCTGGACTAGAGTACAGTGCAGTTTGGTGAGTGGGTATGCTTGCACCGCACTTCACCGCACTGCACTGCACTGCATCTAGTCCAACACTCCAAGTGACCGAGCAGAGCAGGGACTCGGTCTGCTGGATGGATGCTGCATGCCTGTGGTGCAGCATCCATCCAGCAGACCGAGTGGTGCACACCATGAGTTCCTTATCCTCTTTCCATGCAAGAACATGTTATGACTTATCCCCTTCTTCCGCCAAGTCCTTTTTCCACCCTTACACCCCTTCTTCCCCTCTCTCTCCCCAACCCCTTTACTCCCACCTCCCCCCCTACACACCCATCACACCTTCCACTCCAACCCCACATATCCCCCTCACTCCCCGCATTCCTCCCGCTCCCGCCACTCCCCTCCCGACACCCATCAGGTACGTGATGGACGAGTTTGGCAGTGCCTGCCTTCCGGCACAGCGACCAACCCAAGTTCCTCTTGTTTCCCTCTTTACGCCCCTCCCATAAGCCCTCACACTCCCCACCATCATCACCCCACTCTCCCCCACTCTGTCCCTTCCCTCGCCCTCCTTCCCCCAACACCCACCCACCAGGTACGTGATGGACGAGTTCGGCAGTGCCTTCCATCACAACACCTCAGTAACTCAGTTCATGTTGCTATGCCCTCTCCCCACTTATCCCCTCCTTGTCTCTCCCTTCCCCCCTCCCACCCATCAGGTACGTGATGGACGAGTTTGGCAGTGCCTTCCGTCACAGCGACCGACCCAACTTCCGCTGTGCGCCCTTCCTCTTCCTGCCGGATGGCTCCTTCGCCTCTGCTCTCAGGTGAGTGGGCGTGTGGGGGTGTGCTCTCAGGTGAGGGGGGGTGTACTCTCAGGTTGGGGGGATGTGTTCTCAGGTGGGGGGGATGTGTTCTTAGGTGGGGGGGGTGTGCTGTCAGGTATTTTTTAATAAGGTGTTTTCAGGTGGGTCACCCTTCTTCTTCTCTCTGTTCGGTCACCCATGTCCTCCCTACTCCCCCCCTTCGGCTACTCCATCGTGTGGCCGCTGGCAACAGTGCAGGCTGGAGAGGAGTGCACGAGGGACTATCTTGCGGGGGTGGGGGGGGGGGGGGGGGGGTATTTGCCACATATTCTGATATTCAGCGTTCCAGCTATTCTCACACATCGCCCCTTTTTCTGCCCTCCCTGGCCCTGTCCTGCCCCTCCCTCACCTCCCCCCCTCCAGCTACTCCATCTTGTGGCCGGTGGCAGCAGTGCGGCCGGGGGAGGAGTGCACGAGGGACTATCTCGCCGGGGTGGGGGAGGAGCACCAACGCTCACCCAAGCTGTGCGTGTGGTTCCACACGCCCTCAAGCGCCTTCCACCAAGTATGGCTATTCTTTTATCTCACTTTCCTAGTCCCATTCAAGGGCAGCGCTCGACTTTTGAGTCGACTCTAAAGCGCTCACCCAAGCTGTCCGTGTGGTTCCACACGTGCAGCAAGTATACAGCTCTGCTCTCTCCCTTTTCTGTTCGATGCTAAGGGCACACATCTCTGCGGTTCTACAAACCCCCTCCACCTGCTTCCAGCAAGTTAAGCACCTGTTGTTTTGAGTTCGCAATGCCCCTCCACTCCCTCCTCTCGTCACACAACTCCTCTCACCGCACACACAACCCATCTCGTACCACCCGGCTCCCCACCCCTAGTCTAAAACCAGCACCTATGCAAGTTCGCATTACACCTCCTCTCCCCTCCCTTCAGCCCTCATCATCTCATCACACTCCCCACTCCCCATCTCACCATTTCCATCCCACCCCAACCCAGGCATACGAGCGGTGCTTGTGCAGGTTCGCAGCACACTCCTCACTCCCCCTTCACCTCCCACCGCCGCATTTCCCACTTCCCACTCCCCGTCTCACCCATTTCCACCCCATCCCACCCCAACCCAGGCTTATGAGCAGCGCCTGTGCAGGTTCGCAGCAGCAGCCACAAAGCACGCAGAAGCTACCGCTCTCCTTGCCTCTACTGCATCCGACAATAAAGAGGACAAGGGAGGAGAAGGAAAGGCGAGTGAATCGGCAGACAAACCGGAGAGAACAGAATTGGAGAAGCGGGTGTATCGAGTGTTCACGGATCTGCCCTATGTCACTGACAACCTCTCCCGCCCCGAGTTTACTTTTGGTGAGCTCTGGTGGGGCAAGCGGAAGAAAGGAGGGGCTAGCAGAGGAAGCGCGTGCATCGAGTCTTCGGCAATCTTCCCTATGGCCGTGACACACAATAGGCCATTCATCATGTCGCGCCCTCTACCTCTCACCCTTATCTATCTATCGAATATGTCAGTGTCTTTCATTTGTGAGGCACCTGAAAGGTCTTGGAGTCATTGTGTAGCTCTCAAGTATGTATTCCTATCATGTGTACATGTAGCCTTTGCACCCAGCTTTCTTTTCCTCTCTTGCGCTGCACTGTCGTTTGGTGCTGGGCCGTGTTTTTTTAACTTAGCCTGGCATACTCCCATCCCATGCACATGCACTGCTACCAACCACTCAAAGCGGGAAATTAACTTGCTCACCCTGTGTATCAAATCAAATGGCCAAGCGCACATTATGTTTCACACAATGTGCTCGCTTCATGCTCATGATAATTTTAATTCCACCCGGCCATGCATGCGGGTGGACGAGGCGTTTCGAGAGGCAACTGGGTTAAAGGAGAGGAGGAGCAAAGGAGAGCCAACTGGGCGGCTGGAGGTGTGAATCTTCATGCACGTGTTAACCCTCTCTCCCAAACAACCCCCAATCCTCAAACCGCCCCCCCTCCCCCAGTGGACACCCCCAGCGAGGCGGACATCATCTGGACGAGCATGCAGGTGGACGATGCGTTCAGAGAGGCGGCTGGGCTGAAGGGGAGAAGGGAGAAGGGCGGGCCAGAGCCGCTTGTGAACCAGTTCCCGTTTGAGGCATGCATTGTCATGAAGCATCACCTGGCGAAGACCATACAGCAGGTGCGTGGTGGAGACACAGGGAGGGCGGGGAGGGCCAAGGTAAGGCCAAGGGAGGGCTGGAGCCATTTGTGAACCACTTTCCATTTGAGGCATGCATTGTGATGAAACATCATCTGGCGAGGACCATCCAGCATGTGGGATGCGGTACGAATGGGTTACCAACTTGCTTGTTCTACAGTCGTTTGAGGCACGCATTGTGATGAAGCATCACCTGGCGAGGACGATCCAGTAGGTGCGTGGTGGAGGGGCAAGGGAGGGTGAGGAGGGCAGGGAGGGCAAAGAGGGCAAGGAGGGCAAGGGCCGTGTTCATATGCAGTCAGCATCATCTGCCATGTTGTTAGCAAAATACAGTCAGCTAACCCTTTGCTCCGATACGCCAGATACTCATTGCTTGCTGCTGGCTCAGTCTCCACGCATGCATGCATGCAGAGGAGTTTGCTCTGGTGCAAGGGCACGATAATCAATACTCTTATTGGACGACAAGCGATACATTAGCGGCAAGGTAAGCACATGTTTTAAAGGCAAAGCAAGCAGTACTATAACAAAGAATCAGCATTTCTCTAAGGGCATGATAAGTTATACACCATATAGTTTTTGCTTGTTGCTTTGGTCGCCGTGCGTGTGTATATGCCATATATGGGGGAACGATATGCTATACTTAAGGGTTCTCCTCGTGCCATACATCCCATACATGCAGTCAGAGCGAGCAGCACTGATGGGGTGCTGCATGTTCTCCTTTCGCACGCATGTGGGCTTCATAGCTTGCTCTTCTCCTGCTTTTGCGTGCAGTCACACGGCAACACGCGCCCCTGGTTACAAGACAATTTCGGCTTGTACCCGGAGAGAAGAAACATTGACATGGTGCCGTATGCTCTCCAGGTTCACCACCTTCACGAATGCCGCCCTACACACGTGTGTGTGATACTCTTTGCTACTCGCTCCTTCTGCAGGCATATGGCAACAACACGCGCCCCTGGCTTCAAGGCACCTACAACATGCACTCAAGGCTGGCAGCGCGGATGGAATGCTGTATGGATGTGTGTTCTCCCTGTTATGCTGGTGCTTGATCTCCTCTTCCCCTCCTCTTCCTCTTCCTCTTCTACTTCTCCGCTCTTACTCTTGCGTGCAGGCATACGGCCACATGCACGCACCCCTGGCTGCAAGATACATACGATATGCACTTAGAGCTAGCAGCGCTCATATGATGCTGTATTGTATGTGCCCCTGGCTACAGGACTCATGCAACATGCAGTCGGAGGAGATTCCATGGCTGCGAAATCGTGGCGTCTTCTATGCTCTCCCTCACATGCTTGTGCTTGTGTCGCTGTCGCTCTGCTGTTGTTCTGCTCCTGCATGCAGGCATACGGCAACACGCGCCCCTGGCTACAGGACACATACAACATGCAGTCGGAGATGGCAGCGCTGATAGGGTGCTTTAAGGGGAGGGAGGCGGCAGCTGCTGCTGCTGCAGGGAAGCGGTTGACTGCCAGCTACGGAGGCAATGAGGCACCTGAGAGTGATGCAGGTAGGGCATTGTGAACAGGCAAGGTGGATGGCCTTGGATGCTGATAGGGAGCTTCCAACAGAGGGAGGCGGCTGCTGCTGCTGCTGCTGCTGCCGGGAGGCGAGTGATAGCCAGCTATGCGGGCCGTGATGTCAGAATATTATCTTATTGTTCTAGCCTGTAGTGGGGTGCTCTATAGCGAGTACAAGCCTTCTAGGGTTTGCTATTTGTATCCTCATTCTTGCTAGTTCAATCCTCTTTCTTTCTTCTAATTTTGACATGCTATCAGAGCAGGTCGATCCCCTTGGATCGATCCTGTGGGTGTGTCCCCACCTTGCTTCCGCTGCTACTTTTTCATCCCGCCGTGCGCCCCGAGGCGCGCGGCGGTTTTCTGCCCGCCGTGCGCCCCGAGGCGCGCGGCGGTTCATTGCCCGCTGTGCGCCCCGGGGCGCGCGGCGGGCTTCTCCTCTACGTCGCGGCCCCGCCCCGGCCCGTCGCCCGTGCGCCTGCCCGGCTCGGCCCCGCCCTTCGTCGCGACCCCGCCCCGGCCCGTCGCCGCCCGTGCGCCTGCTTGGCTTGGCCCCGCCCTACCTGTCGCGGTCCCGCCCCTCCGTCGCGGCCCCGCCCCGACCGTCGCGGCCCCGCCCCTCGTCGCGGCCCCGCCCCTGCGTCGCGGCCCCGCCCCTCGAAGCGGCCCCGCCCTACGTCGCGGCCCCGCCCCGGACCCTATGCGGCCCCGCCCTACCTTCGCGACCCCGACCTGTCGTGGCCCCACCCTACGTCGCGGTCCCACCCCGACCGTCGCGGCCCCGCCCCGCTCGTCGCGGCCCCGCCCCTTGTCGCGGCCCCGCCCTCCCCTCAGGTCCGTGGTGGGCCCCCCCCCCCCCTTTCTCCCCTTCCCCCATTTCCCGTCGCCCGTCGCGGCTCCTGAGGGGGCCGCAAGCGGCCCCCTCAGGTCGCCACGACGGACGACGGGAGGGGCGAGCTGTGGGGTGGCGGGTATGGGGGTGGCCGGTGTGCCTTCCTCCCTTTCTCCTCCTCCTACTTCGTCTCCCACTGCTGCAGCTGTCGCTGAGGGGGGTGGTTGTGTGGGAGACTGGGGTTTAGGGTTTTAGGGGGGTGCGTGGGAGTAGAGCTAGTGGTGTAGCAGTGGGTGTGTATCAGGGGGGTGGGACTGTGTGCGGGAGGATGAGCGGAGGTTGCCAGTTTGTCGTCAGCAGCACCTGTAGTCCGGGGCGCTGTCCCGGTAGCCCAGTCGTAGCCAGCTGTGCCAGCCGCCCGTGGGTCCGTTGCCCGTCCGCCGCTATTTGAGCCGCGGGGCCTGTTACCCCTGTAGTCCGGGCGCTGTCCGGTAGCCGCTGTGCCAGTCTGCCTCCTGTTGCCCGTGTGTCTGCAGCTTCAGCCGTCGCCTCCTGTCTCCTCTCCCCTCACTCTCCCTCCTCCTCCTCACTTGCCCGTTGTGACTACCACTAGCTTTGCTTATAATTGTAAACTCTAAACTATTTCTTCTTGAACTTGTGCTCAGAATGTGTGGTGACATTGTGATCCACCCTGAGCTTGTTTTGCTTTGCCTACTCTGCTGATTACACCCCACTTTGGCTATGGGGGTGTGTCAGAATATTATCTTATTGTTCTAGCCTGTAGTGGGGTGCTCTATAGCGAGTACAACCCTTCTAGGGTTTGCTATTTGTATCCTCATTCTTGCTAGTTCAATCCTCTTTCTTTCTTCTAATTTTGACACGTGAGGCTGCTCAGAAGAGTGAAGGTAAGAGCGCCGTGAGTAATGAATGAAGACATGTCAGGCATGCGATGGGAACTGGCAGCGCTGATAGGGTGCTCTCAGCAGAGGGAGGCGGCGGCTTCTGCTGCTGCTGCTGCTGCTGCTGCTGCTGCTGTTGCTACTGCTGCTGCTGCTGCTGCTGCTGCTGCTGGTGGTGGTGGTGGTGGTGGGGGTCAAGTGATTTGCAGCTATGAGGACCGTGAGGTGGCTCAGAAGGTAGGTGGGTGTGCTGTGCACAATGAATGAAAAAATGATTGAATTAGTGAGTGAGTGAGTGAGTGGGGGAGTGAGTTAGTGAGGGAGTGAGAGAGGGAGTGAGTGATTGAGTGAGTGGGTGCATGAGTGAGGGAGTGAAAGAGTGAGTGAGGGAGTGAGTGCATGAGTGTGTGAGTGAATGAGTGAGTGAGTGAATTTGTGAGTGAGCGAGTGAGCGAGTGAGTGAATGGGTGTGTGAGTGAGCGATACCCTTTATCTCCCCCTCTTCTCACTGCACTGTCCCCCACTCATTCGCATTGCTCCTCAGACCTCTCACATCCCCGTCTCCCCCAGTTTACCCCACAGACCCTGATCTCGCATATGGATGCCCCATGCCCTTCCCCCCTGTCCCACTGCCCTCTCTTCCTCCCCACCCCCCGCCCTCTCATTCCCCCGCCCCCTCCACCCCACAGACCCCAATCTGGACAACACGTGGATCTTAAAGCCCTGGAATCTTGCGCGCAGCATGGATGCAACAGTGTCGCGCCACCTGGCGCAGATCGTACGGCTGGCAGAGACCGGGCCGGAGGTCTGCCAGAAGTACATCTCCCGCCCCGCGCTCTTCCACGGGCGCAAGTTCGACCTGCGGTTCTTGCTGCTGCTGAAGAGGCTTAAACCGCTCGAGGCATACCTCTCCGATGTGTTCTGGGTGAGTGAGTTGACGGGAGGAAGTGGGTTGGGTGGAATGCTGCTTGCCTGCTGCCTGCTGAGCTCTTCCACGAGAGGAAGTTTGACCTGCGCTTCCTGCTGCTGCTCAAGCGGCTGAAGCCGCTGGAGGCATATTTCTCAAACGTGTTCTGGGTGAGTGGTATGTCTGGCTGCTGCCTGCTGGTTGGTGGGTGGTTGCTTGAAGCGTCCCACAGCAAGGCAGACACTGGGCCGAAGGAGACGCCGGGCCAAGGCAGGGCAGAGAGCGGCCCCAAGGTCTGTCAGAAGTGCATCTCCCACCCCGCGCTCTTCCACGGGAGAAAGTTCGACCTGCGCTTCGTGCTGCTGCTCAAGCGGTTGCGGCCCTTGGAGGCTTATCTCTCCGACGTGTTCTGGGTGAGTTGGCTGACGTACTGCTGTTCGCTGCTTGCTGCTTGCTGCAGGCTGGCTGGCTGGTGCTGGTGTGAGAGGCCTCACGTCATGGCAAGGCAGAGGCTAGGCTAAGAGGGAGGCCAGACTCCCTCAAGGTAGAGAGGGGCCCCAAGGTCTGTCAAAAGTACATCTCCCGCCCCGCGCTCTTCCACGGGCGCAAGTTCGACCTGCGCTTCCTGCTGCTGCTCAAGAAGCTGAGACCCCTTGAGGCGTACCTCTTAGACGTTTTCTGGGTGAGTGGGGTCGGGTGGGTTGCTGCTTCTTGGGCTGCGGCCCTTGCTGCCTGTTGAGTGTTGGCTGTGGTGCTCTTCCACGGGAGGAAGTTCGACTACGCTTCCTGCTGCTGCTCAAACGGCTTAAACCGCTCAAGGCATACCTCTCCGATGTGTTCTGGGTGAGTTCATGCTCGATGGTTGCTTGCTGCTCTTCCACGGGAGAAAGTTCGACCTGCGCTTCCTGTTGCTACTGAAGAGACTCAAGCCATTGGAGGCATATCTCTCTCTGATGTCTTCTGGGTGAGTCGAGTTGCTGGGTGAACCCAGGGTTTTGGTGCTTGCTGCTGGGTGCTGGCCGGTGTTGGTGTGTGGCGCCCACAGCAAGGCAGAGACTGGGCCAAATCATGGGCATTAGGTGGAGGCAAGCCAAGGCAGAGAGCGCCCCCAAGGTCTCAACTTTTGAAGCGGCTCCAAAGACTCGCCCTGTGCCTCCCCTCTCTTGCGTGCTTCATGTGACTCACCCCTCTTCTCTTTGCTTTCTCCACCAGGCTCGCATCGCCAACAAAAAGTATTCGCAAGCAGAGGACTCGCTGTCGGACTTCCAGACACATTTTACTGTCATGGTAAGGTGTCAAGTGGTGTGGTGTGGTGTGGTGTGGTGAGGTGTGGTGTGGTATGGTGTGGTGTGGTGTGGTGGGGTGTGTTGTGGTGTAGTGCGGTGATGGTGTGGTGTGGTGCGGTATGGAACTGCTTCTTCTCCATTTAAAATATGTCATCACAGTACTAATTCATGCATAAGACATGACTATGGTACTTGTGACTCACCATATTCCTTGCTCACACACTAACACACACACACACACACATGCATGCACGCGCACACATGCATGCACGCGCGCATGCACACACACACACATGCCCGCATGAACCTGTGTGTCTGATATGTCCCCATCCTCCCATCCCTCTGTCCATCCTCCACTCCCTCTTTCCATTTCCACGTCCCCACGTTTTCTCTCATCATATCTACAGCGGTTATAAGTATGAGGACATGCTTTTGTTGACGTGCCATACTCTCCCCTGCCTCCCTCTCTCCATCCTCCCTTCCCTCTCTCCATCCTCCCCTCTCTTTCTCTCCATCCTCCCCTCTCCCTCTCTCATCAGAACTACAGCAGTCACAAGTACGAGCACGTGCCAACACACGAGTTTGTGCAGGCATTTGAGCAGGAGCACAGTGGTATGGATGGTGATGACGTGGTATGGATGGGTGATGACGTGGTAGGTTGGGTGATGACGTGGTATGGATGGTGATGACGTGGTATGGATGGGTGATGACGTGGTATGGATGGGTGATGACGTGGTATGGATGGTGATGACGTGGTATGGATGGGTGATGACGTTGTATGGATGGGTGATGACGTGGTATGGATGGGTGATGACGTGGTATGGATGGGTGATGACGTGGTATGGATGGTGATGACGTGGTATGGATGGGTGATGACGTGGTTTGTATGGGTGATGACGTGGTCTGATATGTATGGGGGTTGTCCCCTAGTCATGGCATGGTGTGGATGGGGAGTGACATGGTGACAGGCTTTGCTTGATGGATGCAGTGCATTTGCAGCCCGCTACTAGCACATGGCACCATGTTGTAAGGAGAACTCATCTTTGCTCTCCATTTCTTTTGCTCTTCAAACCCTCCCCCCTCCGCTCCCCCCTGCCCTCCTCCGCTTTCAGCAGCTTTACTTACACAGCTTTCCTCCCAAATTTCGTTTTCTTTAAATCTCCTTCCCCAACTTCCTTTCTGCCCGCCTCTGTCCATTTCGCATGCTTGCTGCAACAGTGACGTGGCAGTCCATTTACCAATCAGTGCAGAGAATGTTACGGGAGCTGCTGGCGGCAGCTGTCACTGTTCATCCTGAGATGCAACCAGATGACGACACCTGTCGAGCAATCTACGGTGTGGATGTGATGCTGGATGATCACTTCCAACCCAAGCTTCTAGAGGTTAGTCGTGCAATTTTCCCCTCATTTCTTGGTATTGACCATCCTTGTGCCCCACTTTACGTGGTTTGATCATGGTTTTATCCCTCCATATGTTAATTACCTGCATATGTTATGTGTTCATGTGGTCGTGTACAGGTAACATACTGCCCGGACTGCACGCGAGCTGTGACGTATGACATGAAGAGGATTTTCCCAAGACCTAGTACCGGCTCGGATGGCAACGGAGAAGCAGAAGATGAATCCGCGTGGCTGCGACCCAAACGCTTTTTCAACGATGTGTTTGGATGCCTCTTTCTTGGAGAGACCCAGAATGTGCGGCGCTTGTAAAACCTTCACTTCATGGTGCCGGTTATGAAACTCTTTGGTCGACTAGAAAAAAACATATAATCGAATTCTGTGTTTACACTGCAACACCAATACGTGGGAGGGAGGGAGCCTTTCACCCAGTGCTGGGCATAATGAAATTCTTGTTGCGTTGAAACTTATCTGGTCACGCTAAGTCCCCAATGAACCCCGCTCATAAACTGCGTTCATTATGGTAAGGTAAGCTTTTCTACTTTGGTTTCCATGCATCTTGAACCACATGCTTTCATTCAACGAATCAAGCAGTGGCCATTCTTTCTGACATCTTCCTTAAACGGCCAGCACACTACCGTATCGTGGATTGAGGCTGCTGTGATTTTGTAATCAGTGCACATAACTAATTCAATTCTGAACAAGAACTTGATTGGCTATTGCAGTACCATGTGTCATAAATGGTTCTAAGCACAGGTAAGCAGCGAGGTTCCACACGAATTGCCGTTCCCTTGTTTGCCCAGCTCACTCACAGCTGCTAGCCCAGGACAGCCCCTGACAGCTGGCAGTTTTGTGAATGTAAAATCAAAATAACAACAAGCACAGGCAGGCAGCAATTTCCCACACAAGTTGTGATTTCCTGGTTTGATCGAGCCTCTTGCTTCAATCTGCTCGGAGCAGCTGAAACAGCCCCTGACTCTCGGCTCTCTGCCAGTGTCCTATCGAATTGGTTCTATGAACACGCCGGCAGCGGGGAACCACACAAATCGGGGTTGCCTAGCTTAAACGCGCCTCGCTTTAGCTTGCTCGGAGCAGCTGGAACAGCCCCTGACAGCCGATTTCCCGCCAGCTGCACTTGCTGTACCCTTGCTGGCCAAACCGTGGGTATTTTCCCCGATACTCGGTTATATGACAGCCCGAGTCCCTGCAACCATTTCATGTTGCTCACACCTGCGGGGATTGTTCCTGTGAGGGCGTTCTTGTCAAGGGTCAGAAGCTTGAGGCGGGTAAAGGAGCTGACTGTGGTGGGAATGGGGCCGGAGAGGCGGTTGGAGGAGAGGTAAAGATGGGCGAGGGAGGCGGAACAGGAGGGGGGGGAGAGTGGGGTGGGCGGGCCGGAGAGGGCGTTGGAGGCGAGATTGAGGATGGTGAGGGCCTGCTTGTCCTGGCAGAAGGCGGGGATGGGGCCTGTGGGGTGGGGGACGAACAAGGAGATAAGAGACGGGTCTTGATGGGCCTGGCAGATTTAGGGTTGGGGATGGCGGGGGCTTGATGGGCCTGAAAGGAGGAATTGGGGCCTGTAGTGAGAAAGTATGGTGAGGAACATGGAGAAGAGGGCGAGAAAGCAGGAAGAAAGAGTGGGAAGAGCGTGTGGTGAGAAAGCATACTTAGAGCTGACGAAATTTAGGGCTTCATGGGCCTTGCAGAAGGTGGGGCTAGGCCTGCGTGTTAGAGCAGAGCGGGGCAGGAGGGAAGGGGAGCAGGAGAGGGAGGAGAGAAGGGGGCGAAAGAGGGGTGGGCGGGCCGGAGAGGGCGTTGGAGGCGAGGTCTTGATGGGCCTAGCAGAAGGCGGGAAGAAAGAGTGGTAAGAGAGAGTGGTGAGAAAGCAGACTTAGAGCTGAGGAAGGTGAGGGCTTGATGGGCCTTGTAATAGGTGGGGATGGAGCCTGTGAGGCGTGGAAGGGGAGGTGAATGGAAAGTGAAGAACGTGAGAGCAGAGAGGGGCAAGAGAAGGGCAGTAGGAGGGAAGTTAGGAGAAAACTCAGACCCACAGGAATAAAGCAAGGGGAAGGGAGAGTGAAGGAGAGAGAAAGAGGGGTTGGATGAGAATGGGGGAGGGGTTACAAGGAAATGTACACGGACGGGGTAAAGGAAGTGAAGCTAAGAAGAGTGTGTTTACCAGGGTTAAGGAATGTAAAAGGCATGCTGGCTCGGACAGAGAAGGGGAATGAGTGGAAAGTATCCCAAAAAAAAAAGCGGACACAAGTGAGGAGTGTGTGGGTGAAGTGATGTTTGGGTAAACATGATGGATGACTCTCTCTCTTCATACCGCATCGATTCCCAGCCAGCTTACCTGTCAGAGTGTTTGCCCCGAGGTCCAAATAGCTAAGATAGGGTAAAGTGGTGAGACCTTGGGGAATTCCCCCTGTAAACTTGTTGAATCCCAGGTCCACATCCATGATCCCAGGTTCGAAAACGGCTGCAAGCTGCCCGAGAAATTGTTGTGGCTTAAAGAGAGTACGGCCAGCAAAGGATTTGTGGGCTTGAAGCAGTTGGCTGGAACGGCTCCGGTCAGGCTATTGTGCGAGACATGGGCTATTGCAGGGCTGTTTAAACGGCAAAAGATCTACGGAAAGGAGCCCAAAAACAAATTATATGAAACGTAGATAAATAGTAGCAACTCGCTGAAACGGATCGTGTTGAAGTTTCCAGCTAGCCTGTTCTGGCTGAAGTTAATATCTTGGGCGTTTATTTGCAGCCTGCTCAGGTCGCCGGAAAGCTTGTTTTGAGACAAGCTAAGTGACGACAATTCTCTTTTCAGCAGAGCAGGTGGAATTTTCCCGGACAGCATGTTCGTGTTTAACCCTAAAAACCGAAGCTTCGGCAACATCGCGAGGGCAGCGGGAATTTGCCTGGACAACCAATTGTATCTGAGATCCAAATCCTCCAGCTAAACCCAATGCGGCGTACGCAGCAGCACGTTGTGGTAACCCGCCGGAGAAGAAATTTGTCGACGCGATAAGGGTTCTAGGCTTTGGCAGGCGAAAAAAGGCGACTGGAAGAGGACCAGCGACACAATTATGATTATGGTTGAGGGTCTCGAGTTTTGTAAGCCGGGAAAGGGATCGCGGGACCATACCAGCAAGCCAGAGGTTAAACATACGAAGCTCGATGAGTTCTGTTAGCTGGCCGATAGATGCGGAGAGGATTGCGGGGAACTTTCCTCTAGGTTCGCGCGCAGTACGGTTGCAAAGGCGGGGCGTGGGTGGGCGCAAGAGAAGGCTGACGGTGCTCGCGAGGTTTAGTTTTACAACAGCGCCGTTCACGGCACATGACACGCCGGGCCATGGGCATGCATTCGGCTTGTTCGCCGGAATAGGCAGCAGCGCCGCCGTGAAGATCGCCCTGATAGCCGCCGTGTCAGCCGTTGAAGCCTGCGGCGAGCCCGCCTTGTATACGCGAAACCTCGTGGACATGCTGTAAGGGGAGCTGGTTCCGCCGCCCACCGATGCCGCTTCCACGCACTCTGTAGCAGATGTATCTTCCGCGGGCAACACTTTTTCTGCAGATGTTTCTTCCGCCCTACGGGCAGCAAAAATTTGCGCCGCGGGAGGCAGATTCGTCCGTGCCGCCGCTGTAAGACCTCGTCCGCGGCGAGCAACATTCAGCTTCGATATAAGTTGCCTCGTTATGGGGCCAAAAGCCGTCGTTGGTGAGCAGTAGAGGAGTAGCAAGAGGAAGAACTTTGTGATACCAGCATGAGAGCGCAACGCCTCGTAAATAACGGTGTTCGCACGCGCGACTCGAGTGTAATCTGCGCCCGCCATGTGTGAACGGCGTGTGATTCCGAGTCAAAACGTGTGACTCCCAGCTTTCGATATCTGCATAGTTCAGGGTGTAATTATCAATATAAGGCCGGGTCAGGTTCAAATGAACTTGGTACGTTTAATGTGTTCAAGTACGTCAAAAAGCAATGAAATGCGGTTAGCTTCGGTGATAACTCAGAATCGTCTTCAACCCCTCTCTAAAGCACCGAACCGTATTAAACGTCGCAGGTTCATCTAAGACAAATAAAGTCTGGCATGCTCAATTACTTGTGAGCTGAAGTTCCCTCACAACCAGGGAGCAACACAACTAAGTGACAGTGGTGCATGAGTAAGAAAGGATTGGTTTGCCACGGTTTGGGTTAGTTTAGATTGGGTTAAGTGAGGTGAGGGCATCTAATTGAGCCAAGTTGGGCTGGTTTGGGTCTGGTTTGGAGGGGTTGGAACTTCGAACTTTTGGGCGAGGCGCGGTAATTGGTGCGGCTGGACAACAACGAACATGGGAGCATCAAGGAAATTTGGAAAAGGTGAAGTTACAGTACTGGACAGCTCCTTTGCGCTGGAGATGGATGCAGCAAGGTGAACAAGTTCGTAAGGTGATCCACGAGCGACTGCCATTTTTTCCTGCAAACTTCAGGAAAGTTTGAACCACTTGAGCCCGAGCACCTTGCCGTGCTGGAGTGCGATGCGGAGCCTCCAAAACTTCTCCCGATATCCAGTCAGCGGCCAGCTTGTCAGAAGATAAAAACTGGGAGGGAATGACGAACCGCGGAGCTTTCTCAACTCCAATTCCAACGGGCAGTGGTTTTCCCATGGCCCCTGCCATGCGATTGCGCCCTATTCCCGCGGTCAGTTTTCCGCGATAACACAACCTTTAGTACACTTTCATTGATTTCGTGGGCAGGCGCAAATTTCATTGTTAATGTTGCACAATCATTATCTGTGCGCTGTCAACCACCGCTGTTCATGCAGCGGTGGCAATGATGATGCTACCAGGGAAATATTTTGCCGAGCACGCGTGCACGATTCTGCCTCGCGTGACATTCGCGTGACGTGTCTCATGTGAAGGGTCCGCTAGATCTGGTCCACGACCAGAATCTATACGCCTGGTCCGGGGCTCTGGTTCGACGGACCCACTTGGCGGACCAACGTTGGACCAGACACGGACTGGTCTGCCTAATGCGTCGCGCTTCGGGCTGCACAATATTTGCGAGATGCAGCAGTAGCGACGAATTTGAAATTGAGTTACCCATTTTCTTTGTCTGCACAAAAATCTCACGCGAAACTTACAAGAAATTTCGCAAAAATAAATGTTTCACCACCTACTGTTTACGGACCAGGCACGGACTGGTCTAGTGCCATTTGATCGGTATAACGGGGTTACAAGCCCCGGATCCTGGTCCTGGTCCGCCCTGGTTCACGCGCTGGTTCTTGAGCTGGTCCGTCAGGTCCGAGCCGGACCCACGTGGACTCAGACATCTGAGACACCTTCTCAATGTCAGGGTTCCAGTCAATAACAGCGTGCCACGTTGGACTAGATTTGGCGGGTTAAAACCGGAGTCCCAAACAGCCCGAAACTGCCTCAACTTTCCTAACTTTGGTTGGGTGCGACCCAGTTGATACCGAGTTCTCCTCGCAAATTGTTGGGACGATTTTCTCCAAGCAAAATTACTGTGCAAGCGAGGACGACAGCGGTGACAACTTCGCAAACAAATTTGCAGCCCTCCGAAACGCGAACGAGTTCCACGAAACCCGAAACGCAGCCCTACGTAGCATTCCAGATCTGGTTACACTCGCGACCTTTTCATACTTAGCGACCCGCTACCACCGATTTCGACACCACCCTGGCTCGCGAGGCAGTCACCTTCCTCTCCCCATTCAACCTTCCTAACTTAGGGCGGGGTGCATCATGGTTTTTTTGCATGATCGCCCGTGATCGCGATGCTAGCACTGCAATCGTAGGGTCTCGGGTTGGGTTGGATGTGCTGGGAAGAGAATCGGTCCAACGGCACCCCTCCGTTGATGCACCACGTGCAATTTTACTGCCCCAATCCCCAACCGCCAATGAGATGCGGTCAAGGAGTCGCATCTACTGTGATTTGTCGTAGCTAATTTGGAAATTCGTTCGCAATGCACTCGCAGCAGTTTCGTTTCTCCGTTATGCGACAACAAATATTTCGCCAGCAAGGGTCGCTGTGCACGCGGTGCACCTACAATGCCTGATTGCGGCTGATCGCAGGCTGTGGGATCTAGCCTGATCGAAGGCTGTTTGGTAGGTGGTTGACCAACCTTTCGAGGCCCTCTGGGATCGCGGTGCAGCATCGCTACAGTAATCATTGTACATACACGACAAAATACTGTAACAAGGATCGCTTGGGATTGCGATCCCCAAAAACTGCATGATGCACCCCGCCCTTAGAAACTCTTGGACATCCAGTTTTAAGCACCATTGCATCCACGCGAGCAACACTCTATCCTTCCATCATCATTGCTACTTTCAGAGCTACCTTCCATCGTCATCGTCATTGCATCCAGGCTAGGAAAGTAGCTCAACACTCGATCCTTCCATCGACTTACCCCCCGTCAACGTCTCGTGAGGACGCAGTCACCATTTCCACCATCTTGTGAACCAAAGGTTTTGGCGTCAATGAGTGGCCACCGTTGTTACTCTAATTTTTGATTCAGCTAAGTCTATTAGCATAGCATACTCCTCTCCACTGTAAGGATTTACAAATCCTTACTAAGGCACTCGTTATCAAGGCCATCCCGAGGGTCTCGCGTCAAACCTGTTCGGCCTAATTTGTCGCACCGAACAACCCCCGAGTCGGCCTCCGCACCAAACGCAACCATCACCGAGCCATCCCATCCCGAACCCCCCGCCTAGCTAGCTTGTCCCCTATTTAGGCCGCGGCACTTCCATTTTATCTTCATTTAGTACTCAATCATTCTCGTTATTCGTTTTACTGCGCACTCTGCAAGTTCATTCATAACACCTGGTATCAGAGCTACTTTCCTAGCCTACCCCGCTGTTTAGAGTGTAATACCCCTCGGGGGGGGGGGGGGGGGGGGGGGGGGGGGACGAGGAAGGATGTCTTGGGGTCCAGGAGTTGCGTAGGCTGGCCAGGAGAACTAGTTGGTTGCTCCTCGCGACCATAATTTTGTAGGGCACTTCTTCGGCACCGCCAGATCCTTGCCTCGAACGGTCGCAATCGACCGTGGCCTCCCTCCCCCCGGGCAACGGACAGCTTTAGCTGTCGCGACATTAAAGTGAGTAATTTCCGCTGCGATTTCCGACAATTTCGGAGCTTGATTCGTGTGGCACCTGGCGTCAGTGAACCTGCGTCGGCACTTGCACAAATTTTGCGGAAGTCGTCAGCGTGTGTGGTAGCTGACGCCGTCGGACCTGAGTCAACAATTGCGCGACAACTTCGGAGTCCGTCCCATGCGGCAAGTGACAACGGTGGCTCATCGTCATCTTGCGCGCGTGACTCACGGAGTGTGGCTCGGCAGCTGGCGACAAGGGACGTGCGTCACTGTGGGCGATAATTTCAGAGCAACTATGGAGAAAAAGTCGGTTGGTGAACTCGCGAGGCGCAAATGGAGAGACGACATGCAAATTGCCCAAATTATGCGGG